TTTTTTTTACTGGGCAACACATGTTTGCAGATCTCATATTGACAAATCGGATAACAAAGCTCGATATCTCAGTTTACAGTTTTGACAGAAGACATAATTATGAGTCGTGAAATCGCATTTGTAGATGTAAGTCAGATGTAAATATGTACAGACAAACAAAACCTTTTCACATCTGAAGTGTGTACGAAAAAAGAAGGCAGAGAAGCTGTTTGCTTACGTGGCGTTAATGTGATGAGGAGAGTGGCTGTGGCCCGGTTGGCCACGGTCGTAATGCACAAACCTTTCTCTCCGTTATCTGGGATTTGAAGCTAAAGCTAACTGACCTTTCATACTGTAAACAGGCTACCCGAGGCTGCTGTCCACACACACACACACACACACACACACACACACACACTGCATCATCATTTATAACTGTCCTATATGTGGATATGTTACTCACGAAGTCTCTTATCAGCATCTTTCTCAAATGTACTACTTCAAAAATTACATTATTATGATTATTATTATTAGCAATTTTAAATTTTAGTGAAAAGCTACATTTAAACTTAGAATGGAAGCTTAAGTCCCACCATAACAACATTTGACCCTTGAGGTTCCTGGGAACTCCCACAAAGGTGGTTAGACATTGTGGCAAGTGTTTACATGTCTGTCTGTCACTCTGTGGACACATTTTGTTAGTGTGGTAAAGTCATAACTGTGCAAGGTACCACAAAGCTTTGCAGATGTGTAGCTGAGGCCAAAATGAACATGGGCTCAAATATAGTTGTGCTCTGATCTATGATTGCAGGGCCAAATATTGATTTAACCCCGGAGAATCCATGGGGTCAAATTTGACCCCATGGATTCTCCGGGAACACAGGTTCCCTAGACACAGGTTCCCTAGACAACCAATGGGGTCTGCTCTGACCCCATTGGTTCTCCAGGGTTAAAGGAGCACAGATGTTAATAAATGGTTCATTGTTTGGTACGAACCTTTGTTTGTGTTACACATTTGTAACTAAGTTGTTTTTTCAAAAATAAAAGTATACAAAAATATAATAAAAGTGCTTAATATTTCCTTCTATAGCAGTTTAAGCCCTTAAATGCTACATACTGCTAGTAAAAAACAAACAAAACTATACATCAGGACAGGTGTAACACATTTAATATTCAGAATTAAACTGAATTAACTATTGAAAACAACATATTCTTTCTTCGTCTTTTTTTCTTCTTTTTTTGTCATCACTTAGGACAGATTCATCTATTTTCTTTCTTTTGATCAAACTTTACTGGAATTGTCACTGGGCAAACAGAGCTCTTGGTGACTGCCATGCATTTGACCCGTACAGAGGAGCAGCTAAAACATGTGAAGTGTGAGTTAACACAGTGTACACGCAGAGCGTCTGCAGGCTTTCAAGGGTAACCTGTCTATAGCTGATGGACGGCAGCTGGTGCATTGCAGAAATGTTCCGCGCTTTACAATTGTTGTTCTAAAAGTGACTGTGTGGACATGAATAGATTATCTGTGTAGCTGAAAGGGTGTACCAAAGAGAGGACAGTTTTAGTCAGCTGTACTAAAACCAGTAGTCTTGCATCCTTAGTTCAGTGTTTGTGTGTTGCCTCATCTCCCAGGAATCGTACCATCCTCTGTGGTCCTGACTGGATTCCAGGTCATGTCCCGGGTCTTCCTCACGTGGGCTGTCACGCACAGTGTCAGAGAGGTACAGCGAGTTTCTTTCCTTTTGCTTCTTGTGTAAACTGAACTTGAATTACACCGTCCTTCTACATCGTTTCATTCACTTGAATTCAAAATTGACCAGCTGATCTGCTGTTTGCCCTGTTTGTAGCTTGAAGAGGAGTAAACGAGTAAGTAACATTACAGTTTTGCTGTAAGGTTGCAGGAATGAATCGACAGCATCCGTCTAATCTCTGATGGGTTTTATTTCCTGTTTGTCTGAATGATGCTGCACTGACATTTCTCTCAAACTGTTCTCTCTTCCCCTTTACGTGAATGCATTTCTAGG